AGCGCCTGTTTTATTATTATGCTGAATATAAAAATCTAATTCAAATATCTTCTCATCCATTTTGGCTCCTAAAAATGATCCTTTCATCCACCCAAGATTAAGAGTTTTTAATTTGAAAACAAAATCCGTTCAGAATGGGTGGATTTTGTTTTGATTCCAAAATAAAATAACTTTTTTTAAAAAAAAAATAAGAAATGAAAATAAAATAACGCTTTGTGAGTGTTGAAAATCTAATTATCCAGATGTCACAGGGTGAAGCATGGATTTCACAAGCAAAACGTGTTTTCTTTATTTTTTTTAAACTTTATTATTGAATGACGGATATTTGAACTAAGGTTGTTATTTTTAAAAGAAGAATAAAAGTTTGGTTGTTATTTTTTTAAGACTGACATCCTGGTCTACTAAAGTTGCTTGTAAGCGTTGGTGCTTCATCCTGTGATATTACTGCCCAAATTTGCATAACTTGTGTGTCAGATGTGCCCTGAACAAGCTTTTCTTGTATTTATGCCTGTGCAGTTATATAGGTTGCAGGTTGCATGTGTGTACTGTATTTCATTAGTCTCAATGAAATAATTTTTTTGTCATTAGTGAATGAAGAAATGCTTTTTTTATCCATTGTGAGCTTACACTTGATAAAAGGGCATTTTTCTTTCACTCATCTGAATTCTACATTGTCCCACTTCAGTATATACAGGTCCTTCTCAAAAAATTAGCATATTGTGATAAATTCATTATTTTCCATAATGTAATGATAAAAATTAAACTGTCATATATTTTAGATTCATTGCACACCAACTGAAATATTTCAGGTCTTTTATTGTTTTAATATTGATGATTTTGACATACAGCTCATGTAAACCCAAAATCCCTGTCTCAAAAAATTAGCAGATTTCATCCAACCAATAAAAGAAATCTGTTTTAATACCAAAAAAGTTAACCTTCAAATAATTATGTTAAGTTATGCATTCAATACTTGGTCAGGAATCCTTTTGCAGCCTTCAATGCGGCGTGGCATGGAGGCAATCAGCCTGTGGCACTGCTGAGGTGTTATGGAGGCCCAGGATGCTCCGATAGCGGCCTTAAGCTCATCCAGAGTTTTGGGTCTTGTGTCTCTCAACTTTCTCTTCACAATATCCCACAGATTCTCTCTGGGGTTCAG